TTTAGCTTATGATGGTGTGTGGATAATGCAACACTGAGGTGATGGTTTGAGATATCTAATCGTAGGCCCTACTAATCACGACCAGACGTACGTGATGTGAGTGTTCATGAGACGTTTCCCAAATAGATTGCATGTGGGATGCTTGTTGGTAAGCATGCTTTTTTTTCAGATTAAAAACAGAAACGTTTTCCGCTAAGTACAACCCATCAGCGCACTAGCTAGTTAACTCCGCGTCTACCTTATTTTCCATTGCTGGTTTTGTAATCAAATTTCACGAAAACAGGTACACATGACACCAGCTAGCTAAGTTTAAGCTGAGACGGAGGCGACAAATGCAGAGAGCCGGGGGCCTTTGTCAGTGCAAGACTGTAGGCCTCTCTTCCTTTTTGGCCTACGTGGGTACGGTGCAAAAGTGAGGGCAGAGAGGGCGACACTGTCACGGACAATGCATGCATGCGGCAATGGTGCGTGCACGTCCTTGAATCATGAGCGCCTTCTCCCTCCCCGGCCCGTCCTGCAACTTGCATGCTAACTGCTGCACATTGATGCCGCGAGTGCAGGTGCATCTCATGGAAAGTGAGCCGAGAGAAAGTTGGAGAGCACGTATAAAGCACACACGGGCTCAGGATGGGCTCAGCCATTTGCCCATATGCGTCCGTGCACGCGACTGCAGGTGTGCAATAACCCGGCCTCCTTGCTCTCTCTCTACTCTCTAGCCTGCTTCGTAGCTTCATCAGAGCTCTGATCGGAGCACTAGCTAGCAGAGTGTGCCCAAAAGGTCCGGGTAAAATTGACGACAAAGAAGACATGATGCTTTCTTACCGCCGTAGGAAAGATGGTACATTGCGACGACCTTCGTTGCATGCAGATGCAGCATATACCTACCGTTGTCGTGTGCTCTAGATCACCACCTACTCGTTCGGTCGTGCAACGACTGCGCCATTGACCGGAGTCGGCAAGATTTGTCGGTAGACACAGAAGAATCTCTCTTTCCTCCCGGGGTCGCCACCACTCATGATTGTTATTCGTCGAACGGACCGAAAAAAGCGCCCCGCGACGCGAGACCAACACACACCGTGGCAAAGGCAAACCAACACCAACACATGCGAGCACGCACGAAGGCACGCAACAGCAGACCATATACCAGATCACGGCGAGGCGTACGTGCCGCCGCCCGCGCGCGAGTCCGCGCGACGCGCGCGGAAAGGCGCGGGTGAAAGGGACGAAACGACCGTGACGCGTGCGCCGGCGTTTCCCGGCCGCGAGCCGTTGCTTTGGGCTTTCTTCGCCGAGTCGTGCGGCGTCGGGTTGCCGGCCAGTACGACGTCGCGCACGGTACGGCTGTGCTTGCACGCGTTGCGGTTGCTTTGATAGGGCGCGGGTGCGTGTGCGCGAGACCCACCAGGGCCCCGTGCGCCGATCGATTTATGGGCTGTGTTCGTTGTGTGGTCCGGCGTATCGTGTGGAACGGTACGGGCAATTGTGGTCACTGGCCTTTAGGCCTATGGCCACCGCGCCGCAAGCCCGCAACCGTACGTGCGGGAAGAGGACTGACAGATCGGGCTGGTAGAGCGTCAGCGCAAGTCAGGGGGTCCCTGTACGAACGGTCGTGCGCATGACAATCTGGTTCAATCTGGTTAGCCTAGTGGTTCCAATCAATGAACTGTTCGTCCGTTTGAAGGAATAGTAGCGCCATGAAGTTATCTGCTGCACCAGATCAAATTGTTAGGTTTTGTGTTTCATGGTAAGGTTCCTTGATCCGGCAGACTAACAGGGCTCCTTAGCTTGCACTTTGTGATCAAACAGTATATTGCACTGTTTGTGGGGAAGCACACGAAGGTAAAAGGTGTTTAAAAAAAATGGAAGCAATGGGACAAGGTAATTCGACTTTACTTCAAATCAAAATTGCTAGAAAACAATCGACAAATTTTGCAATCGCGCTTTGGAGAGGGCGGTTCAACGCGCAACTAGGTTAATGAAGGCTCGTAATTAATGCTACCAAAACAATGAAAGAAAATAGCTAGACTCTTCTCAAATAGCTATATTCAGAGATTTAAAACTATGCCAAAAAGCTACACAAATATTTTGTCTAGCTGCAGATGAGTTATATGGAAGTTAAATTTTAACTATACACTCCAATTATATTATACTCTATATGTTTTATATTATAAAATGTTTTCACTTATTTTCAAAGTCAAATGTTTTTAACTTTGATCAAATTTATAGAAAAATATATAGATACTTTTTAACATAAAAAATATAGTATCAAAATAAATTAAATGTTAGGTTTAATGAAATTGATTTGGTGTTATAGAGTTACTAATTTTTTTTATAAATACAATCAAACTTAGAAAGTTTGATCCAGAAAAAAGTTAAGGTATCTTATAATATAAATAAAACGGAGGAAGTAGTTATATTTAAAAGTTTTTGAAACAACTACCAATGTTGTACATCAACTTTCTTATTAAGATATTTATGATTTCTATATGCTTTCGTGTCTGTACATTTTTCCCTCCATATAAAGATTGTATATTTTATTCTCTCAGTGTAATTTTCATATGTGATTTTTTTTTCATTATTTTTTTCTTGAGAAGAACTAGAATAGCCAGCAATGGACGTTTTGGCACATAAATGAGTTGGGCCTAATTAAAGCATGTAGATAATACTAGTACGCGTGAGGATCCATGAGTGGCATAAGAAACATAATCCAGCCATGGCTTAAGAATGATATTTTTATGAAGTGACATTTCAACAAAACCCACTTGTGACAATGACACAATATCAGATTTCTTAAGCCCATCATATTTGTTTTATTTTTACATGACAGGTGGGTCTCATTTATGTTTTTTTGTTCTTTTTTTATTTTCTTCCAGTGCCACTTTTACATAGGTGATACGTCAACTAAAACTGGCCTTAGTAACTTAGCGAGTGGATCCCACCTACTAAAACTGTCTTTAAGAGAGACAATTTTGCTATATATTTGTCGACAAATTTGCTCCTAAAAATTTCATAGATGTAATTATAGTATAATCGTAGTGTAATTACACTGTAACTTGCATGCAACCGCAATGTAACTTGTATGTAACTTTCACATAATTTTGAATCGTTAGATTTATTTCAAGATTTGTGCAAGTGAGGAAGGAGAAAATGTCACATCACGCACACATGTAAGAGAATTCATTTCCACAACCTCCGTTTCACCAAAATAGCATGTTACGGAGAGATTTTTGAAAGTCACATACAAGTTATATTGTAGTTACACGCAAGTTAGTATAATTACATCCCGATTGTACCATAATTACATTTGTCAAATTTTTAAAAGGAAATTTGTCGACAAATGTATAAGTGATCCCTAAGAGAGAAGGGAAGAGAGGAGAATTGCTTACATGTGGGTTCCCTTGTTGACTCAGCGAGTAAACTTGCCATGTTAGTAAAAACCACTTCTCAAACCACTGAAGGAGTCGATTTGCATCGGGTTTCGTAGTTGGAAGAGACGTCATATCCGGTTTTATAGTTCAGGGAGGCAATTCAATTGGGAGCAAAGATGTGGGATGCTAATTAGACTTATTACCTAAACTAGACTACGTAGTGCCAAACTGGACCATAAACAGCATAGCCCAGTCAATGGCCAATAATCTGCTTCAGCCCAACATAGGTTGCCGTTCCGGAAACTCTAATGCGCGATCGATCGCTAATCGCCACCCCTCCCCTCTCCCTCCCTCCACGTTTCCTTTTTTGACACCGCATTATTTTCCTATTTTAGTAAATTTATGCACATAAAATTTATACACCTAAAGTTTATAGACCCAAAGTTTATAAATCAAAAGTTTATATATCCGATTCAAATTTAAATTTGAATTCAAATATTTTTTATATATAGTATTTCTATACATCTAAAGTTTATACACCTAAAGTTTATAGACCCAAAGTTTATAAATCAAAAGTTTATATACCCGATTCAAATTTGAATTTGAAATATATTCGATTCAAATTTGAATTTGAATTCAAATATTTTTTATATATAGTATTTAGATACATCTAAAGTTTATACACCTAAAGTTTATAGACCCAAAGTTTATAAGTCAAAAGTTTACGTACCCAATTCAAATTTGAATTTGAATTTGAATTATATCTGATTCAAATTTGAATTTGAATTCAAATATTTTTTATATATAGTCTTTCTATACATCTAAAGTTTATACATCTAATGTTTATAGACCCAAAGTTTATAAGTCAAAAGTTTACATACCCGATTCAAATTTGAATTTGAATTCAAATATTAGTTTATAGACCCAAAGTTTATAAGTCAAAAATTTACATAACCGTTTCAATTCTGAATTTAAATTTAAATATTTATGATGTAGTATGAAGATAAAAAGGGAAGGAGAAAGGGGGAGGGGGGAGGAGGGAGCGACAATATAGGGGAGGGCGGGTGATCACTCCCAGCGATTACCTGCCTATTAGGCGTACCCTTGTCGTTCGGTTGTGTTCGGTGCCTCATTCCACTCGTCCTCATTGGCATCTGCCTGAAAAGGAGTTTGTTCGTAGGTTCATCGGAGTATTTTTTAAAAAAAGGGAGAATAGCCACTATGGTCCCTGAAGTTTCGCTTTGAGATCATTTTAGTGCCTGACTTTTCAAATTATCCAAGCAAGCCCTTAAACTTTATCATGTGGACATATACAGTCCTTGGCCCATCGAAAATTGCCATGTGGACATGCCATGTCATCTTCCAATGCAAATATATGATGACATACCCAATTTTCCCTTACACGTATCGTCATAGGGAAAAAAGAGAGAAAGAAAAGGAGAAAAATAATAATAATAAAGAAGTAGGTGATCCTGCATATTAAATATCCGTTAGAGTTTTAACATTGAAATGCAACTACTTACATGAAATTTATTTGGCATGATAATTATATATTTAGTGGTTGTAGCTAATTTAACTTTGTATTAGCATAATCCAATGAAAAAAGTTTGCCATATATCCAGTCACATTGAATAAAGTTTGTAAATTCTTTTCATTATTTTTTATGGTACATGGAAGGGTAAATTGGACATTTTACCATATATTTTGCATGAGAGCATAACATGGCATGCTCATGTGGCAATTTAAGTGGAACTAAGGACTATATTAGCCCACATGACAAATTATATAAGGACTCGTTTGGACAATATAAAAGGTTAGGGACCAAATTGATCATGGAGCAAAACTTCAAGGATCATGTTGGCTATTCTCTCAAAAAAAAAAAATAAGGCAACCACAGTTTCCAAAACCTATAAGATTTTAAGTGAAGAGCTTCAGGAATCTTAGATGTGTGACATGTATCTCCAAACAATCGAAGATATCCGCAATCCCAAACAATCTCAAGTGACCGATGCACTCATAAACATATCCTCAGCAAGAAGAACTAGAGCACAAACACCCCAAGACACAAATCACGCCGTGTCAATCAGCGAACAACGAAGATTAGCGCGGGCAAATGCCGATGCCGCCTGTCACGCACTCACGCTTGCAGGTGGTGGAAGCCGCTGAGAGCCTCCTGCAAGTGCTTGACCGCGCTGTCGTAGTTCACAAAGCCCATCAACCAGAACTCATGGCGGTCCACCGACACGAGCTGGATGAACTTCTCCGCGGGCCTCTGCTTGCTGGCCGACGGGCTCGCCGACCTCAGCCTGTGCAGAGGAATCGCCACCTGCCCATCAGGCCATCACTCACCATTAACAACGGAGTACCGTACTGTATTATTATCATCACGATTCACACGCACAGTTAGTACATGTCTATATACCCTGTACGAACCTTGTAGTAGCTCCACTCTTTGCTGCCGCCGCCGGCCTCGTAGGAGAGTGGGCTGTCGCTGCAGAAGGCGACCCTGGCCGTGGAGAGGTACAGGATGCCCATCACCGGGCCGGCGGAGGTGGAGAGGTAGCACGCGTAGGACTTGCGGAGCTGCTCGTCGGGCGGCGCGCTGAACGCCTGCCGGAATATCCTGTCGTGGCCGCCCTCGGCCAGGACCTTGGTCCCCTGCGCGATCCTCCCCACGGCCGCCTCCCCGATGCTCGGCGCCGTCCTCACTGCAGAATCGATGGAGCAATGCAGGCCATCGATAATCACAAAGGGAAATCAATCGATAACGACTATGACAAATTTCGTCCATTGACGACGAGGGAACACGAAACGGTACTCACGGTGCTGCCATGTGTTGCGCGACAGGTCCTCGGCCTTCCTGGTCGTCTCGCCGACTCTCCGCGCCCACCGCGACAGCGCGTTCTTCACCGTCTCCGTCCTGCCTGCACCGCAGCAATCAACCGAACTGTGTAAGCCACGCAGCGGGTAGCAAAGCTCTGTTTGACCAAGAGCGCCGCGCCGGGGACGTACTCGACGACGGCATCGCGTAGGGGTTGGCCTCCGTTGCCACTCGGCGACCAGACCGACGCTGGTGAATCAGCGGATCGAGCGGGCCGCGCCTCTTGGTGGAGCCGTGTGGGAGGAGGTTGGAATGTTCCCTTCGTATCTGCCGATTTGTTTCGCGCGTATCGCGAAACAAATGGGGCTTCTGGCAACGCGAACAGCTCAGCTCGTAGCGTTCGACAGAATATAATTTACCGGAACGGGACGAGTCACCTAACCTGCCCGTTTTTTGTAAGCGCTTCTGTTGCACCGGTCCTCCTAGTCTCCTACGGTTGCCGGGTTGCGCACGTACGTACGTGCGGGCGCCGGTGTGTGTCGCACGCGGTTGGTTCGTTTCTTGTCGGTGTCGGGAGTCCGTAGCGTGCGGAGCGGAGGGGGAAGTTTTCTGGTGCCACGTGACGGGAACGCAGGCTGGACGGCTGGGTCGGGCAGGAACTACACGGCACGGCACGGCTTCGCCTCATTAGAAAAAGGAAAGTTTTGGCGCTGGTGGAGGGAATGCAACGTTGCGGACAAAGGCCGCGCCGGTCCTCGTTGCCGTCGCGCGACGACTTTTGGCAAAGGTGGTGGTACAAAACCTGTAGCTTCCATGGCTTCTCCCCGGCACGCAAAACAAAACATCTATTATTGTATGATTAATTAATTATTTGCTATCTATTATATACTAAAAGTCTATTAAACTCTCTACAAACGCTTCTAAACCGCCATGTGTCACCCTATAAACACTCTCGAGTTGCCACGTGGCACTCTAATAAAATATAGAATATCATAAAAAATCTAATAAACATATAGCCATTGATTTTCCGTTAAATCGGTGGACCCATATATTTTAATCATTAGACCTCTTAAGAAACAAAAATCCGGTAGCCCTCATCCCCATCGTGCATATATGCGGCATGTGCAGGTTCGTGCTATACCTCCCTCCCTCCGGCCTCTCTCTCCTATTTTCTCGGTAACTACTCCTATTTTTTAGCTAACACCTATATCTATCTTCAGATTTTCTAACTATGTTTACCTGTGAAAGATTTGCACGTAAAAAAAATGTTCCACTGTTCCATATACGTGCACATACATACATAGTACTCTCTTTTTTTTTTAACCTTTTTTCCCTTCTTCTTGGTTAGATGAGATAGAAAACCAAATTAATAATTTAATACACATATTAACTGTTAATATTTTAAGTTCTAAAATGCACTTTAATAGATTAGAAAAAAAATTCAAGAAAATATGAGGAAAAAAGTAAAACAACTTCTCATCGATTTTTATTTAAATTAGTATATCTGTTATCTCAGATCATTAAATTAAATCTATTAATAACCTCACACCTAATCTCTCTCAGCGCACTGACTAGAGAAAGGTACTTACATACTGCTCACAAAAAGCCAAAAAAAATACATATACAACTGTAATGCAACGTACGATTAAAAACAAATAAATATATATTACATATATCATTAAAAATTACATTCGCTTCCATCTCCTCCCCTCTTTTCTCTATGCATATATAGATGAGATCGTAACTATAATTAGTGATATTAAATTTTAAAGAACTATAACTTTATAAACATAGATTATATATATATCACAATATATACGTAAATAAATTAGATCCATAATCTTTGGAAATAAAATTTTTTTGGAATCTATTATTTTACCCATTATATTAACAATATAACATAATTTTATTTAGAACCATTATTTTTAAAAACACACGGTTTAAAATAAAGGTTACACAACTACATTTTATACCATTAATTATCAATTTATGATCTATATTAACTAATTTATACTCCCTCCGTTTCTAAATATTTGACGCCGTTGATTTTTTTAAATATGTTTGACCGTTCGTCTTATTCAAAATATTTAAGTAATTATTAATTCTTTTCCTATCATTTGATTCATTGTTAAATATACTTATATGTATACATATAATTTTACATATTTCATGAAAGTTTTTTTATAAGACGTACGGTCAAATATGTACTAAAAAGTATACTATTTTTAATAAAAAATATTTTTCCATCGATTTTCACTTAAACTGATGACGTATTAATTAATTATGACGTATTAATTAATTAATTAATTAGGAAGTCATATATATCTTTCATAAAAATTGAAAAAAAGAAGCTTCTAAAGACCTCTCTTCAGTACTCTGCACAACATGTGTTCATATTTGTGACAAAAAGCATCGTACCTGAGGCAGCTAAAAGTGATTACCAAAGTGATCATGACTGTCAATAAACACTACACATACTAATTAAATTTATATAATTTCTCTCTTTGCTAGAAGGCCACCAACCGGGCAGCCCACTTCCTTTGCGGCCTACTGATTGCAAACAAGCCCAGAGCCTAAAGGGCTCAAATTTAATCAATCCCAAGTGGTTTTCAACCAGAGTTCCTTTCTGTTACTACCTTCAACCTTTCTGACCTTTTCCGATACAATCAGGTCATTTCCTCAAATATATAGCGCCGAAGAACAATATGGTCGCATGAAGTGGACTCAGTCGACCCATCGATTTGTCTATAGTTAGATTATACTCTTATTAACGATAAAAATAATTTATAGGTAAAAATTATGTCAGGATATGATACCTCAGAGGTATGAGGACATGATACGAGTTATCATCCTGTCCAAACGGGATATTGTTATGTAGTATTTTCTTATCAAATCTCGTATTTACGGTTCCCAAATCTGATACTATGGAGGTACCCGCCTAATACTTTTGGGATACCAAGACAAATACCTGCGCCCTGCAGTACAATCTATGTATCCCTTTCCATTGAATTGATTCCCCGCATCGGTTACTCACTCTAGGCCAGCTCAGGATGCGTGTCAGTGGGCGAATTGTGGTGCTCCTTTGTGGTGAGGTGCTGTGAGCCCCCGTCTCTCCCCAACTTCCTCCACCCAGCCATGCACCGGTGACCACGCCCCTTGTTCCTTCCCTAACCCTCTTGCTGCTTCTTCCTATCTCAATTTTCCTCCTGAGGAGCTTGCCGTGTACTTGGGCCGATTAATCTGTGACGACGCAGTGGGCGGCGAGATCCACCACAGTAGCTTAGTGGAGATCACCATGAAGGAGGCGCTCGATTGCCAAGTCATGTTCGTGTGTGTTGTGCCGTAGGGGCATACGAGGACCACATAGGACAACCTCATGGCCATCATCATAAGGCTGCTTTGTCGTTGCCTCAACTCACCATCGACGTCTCCTGCCACGCTGCCACATAGGGAACATGGTCATGGGGTTCGGATAATGCTTTAGTAGTGCAAAGGATCCTGATGATACCGCGTGCGATGCTGGGGATGAGATCCCATCCGTTAGCATTCCCATAAATTAGAAAGAAGATCATGAAATTCTGGCCATTCATATAGTTGTTTTTTTTTTTTGGAAAAAAGGAGTGTGTTCGGTAGACATCTTTGTGGCAGCACTGAGGTTGCGATGCATGTTGTGCATGGCTGTGCTACTTGCTATTGTAGTTGACTACACTGCCAGCCGAACAGGGCCAAAGACACATGGTCAAATTTAATCTACAAGTGTATTTATCCACGTTCTTCCTTGGTAGGGGTGAAAACAGTCACGGAAATTCTCGATCGACCGAGCGCCGTTTTCAGGGGCACTGTTTTTGGCTATTTATAAATTTTGTTTTTTCTATTTTTTTTGCATTGTATTAATGTTGACACGATATACTTTAAATGATTAATATGGTTAATTACCGGTCGATCGACCGTCGTTTCCGAAGATATGCTACCGATTCCGACCATTTTCACCTCTATTCTCGGGTGATGATCACCTGTGCAGCTGTGCTCCCTTTGTTACTCAACACTACAAAGTCAAAGTCCTGAGACGTGACTACACCGCTACACCAACGCGACAGCCACCATGCATACACGATGCCCCTTGTGCCCTTCTGTGTGCTGTGTTCCTAAATTTTTCACCTTTTGGTTCTTTTGAAAAGCTTATTATACAAATAGATCCTAAAAAACTTATGCTAGGATTGATCCCTTTTTGCTGTGCCAACATCATCGGCGCCGTGGTCCGATATGACGGCACCATACCCCCTTGCCTCCTGTGAAAGCTAAGTCAACAATGTGAGGGGGACGGCGACAATATCGTTTGCGCCGAGGACATATTTGTTAGAAAATAAAAAAAACTATTTGTAGCGAAAATGGACCTATTTGAAAATAAAACTATTTATAAATAGGTCCTCAATGTCAACTACGTTGATGATGAGGATTTATTTGTAAATATTTTTTTTATTACAAATGGGTTTTTTAATATATATATATATATATATATATATAGACTCTCAGTGCCAACGACATTGGCATCGTTCCCCTTCACATTAGTGGCTTAGCTTTAACTAGGGGTTAGGGGGACGATGCCAACGCTATTGGCGCCATCATGTTGGACCATGGCATCAGTAACGTTGGTATCGCGAAAATAGTTATTCTTAGAATAAGTTTTTTAGGAATCTATTTGTAGAGTTAATTTTCTAAAAGGATAAAAAGGTGAAAAGTACAGTGCTGTGTTTTGCAGTCGTTCACTCTATCCACATCATCCATCCCATTGTCGGCCGTACGATTCAACCAGATAGCAATGGACGACGTGAAAGGAACACACTCGGCACTCGGTACGCTGATGTTGCTGTCATTGGGCGAGCCTGCCATTTTTGTGCCTGTGGCTGCTGCCGAGTCCATTGTTTCACCAAAGGGTGCAACTTTCGAGGTCTCCTCAGACCAAAGGGTCGGTCCCCAAAGGCCCCGAAAATTTCGTGTCCCATGATGACCAAACAATTGTCCGATTGATCAGCATGCTCTGACCTGATCGAGACGATCGATGCCATCATCTGTGTAGTCAATTATATTCTCCCTGGGGCCAAACGAACACTGGGCCTGCCTCTACCCTACCGGCCACTATACTGCTACCCCCGGCAACGTATTTGACCACGCTGCATGCCGGCCGGCGAGACCCACCGTCTGCCGTGGCGCCGTGGCGGGGACGACGCGTACGTACGTCCAAGACGACGAGCAAGACGACGAGACCGGTCTCGCTATCGTCGCGTGATCCCATCTCGCGACCCAGCCAGGTTTTACTACTGCAGCGTCCTTTTGGCCGGGCACGGCTACCGCTTCTGAATTATACTAGTGCTAGTGTACTGCCGCTACTGCGCAGTGAGGGGGGGATGAAACGT